TCTGGGCTGACGCACCTCTACTACACTTACGTTAACCCCATGATATTATTTCTGCAGAAAAGGACCTAGGGGTGACAGTGGACGAGAAGCTGGATATGAGTCAACAGTGTGCCCTTGTTGCCAAGAAGGCCAATGGCATTTTGGGATGTATAAGTAGGGGCATTGCCAGCAGATCGAGGGACATGATCGTTCCCCTCTATTCGACACTGGTGAGGCCTCATCTGGAGTACTGTGTCCAGTTTTGGGCCCCACACTACACGAAAGATGTGGAAAAATTGGAAAGAGTCCAGCAGAGGGCAACAAAAATGATTAGGGGACTGGAACACATGAGTTATGAGGAGAGGCTGAGGGAACTGGGGATGTTTAGTCTATGGAAGAGAAGAATGAGGGGGGGGATTTGATAGCTGCTTTCAACTACCTGAGAGGTGGTTCCAAAGAGGATGGCTCTAGACTGTTCTCAGTGGTAGCAGATGACAGGACAAGGAGTAATGGTCTCAAGTTGCAGTGGGGGAGGTTTAGGTTGGATATTAGGAAAAACTTTTTCACTAGGAGGGTGGTGAAACACTGGAATGCGTTACCTCGGGAGGTGGTGGAATCTCCTTCCTTAGAAGTTTTTAAGGTCAGGCTTGACAAAGCCCTGGCTGGGATGATTTAATTGGGGATCTGTCCTGCTTTGAGCAGGGGGTTGGACTAGATGACCTCCCGAGGTCCCTTCCAACCCTGATATTCTATGGGGCAGCTTTAAACATGGTGAGAAAATGCTGGAGGCTAAAATGGATTTGGCATATATTTGATCTAAACGGGCGAAGTGCTTCGGAAATGCTAATTATATTCTAATGAAGAGTGTGTGTGTGTATGTCACTGCCCTCTACTGGAACAGATCAGCATTGCTTGTGTGTCATACACCCCGTAAGGCTAACAGAGAGTTTTTTGGGGCTGGAGGTGGTGAGCGCCACCCCAGCTGTAGCCATGAAGTTGTGTGCACTAGCTGTGTGTAGCACAGGGAAAGTCGGAGGAGCTTGTGGATTGGCTACATCGCTGTTGTTATTACCTAGCCTGTGGGGCTGAGGCCCAGCCAGGTGGTACCCACTCTAAACAGTATGAGAGCCCTGGGCTCTGCCCAGCCGCGGAGAGTTTTGGAGCAGTGTGTCCCCACCCACAGTGGTGGGTGAAAGTGTTTTTAACAAAGTGTCAGGGCCCAGCGGGCTGGGGGTGCTGATCTCTGGATGGGGGCCTGGCGTGGGGATGGGGGCTCTGTGTGCAGTGAGGCTGGTGCCCTGGTCCATGGAGATCCAAAGCTCCAGCTCTAGGGGCCTGGGGTGGGGGTGGGGTGCTGAGTTCTGGAGCTGCCCAGGGTCTCCCCAGCTTTCTCGCTCACACTAGTAAATAGCAGCTGGTTTAGCTCCCTGGCACTGGCCCCACTTTGTCCCCATCTGTGCTTGGCCGACAGGACCTAGCCCCGCCTGCCCTGATCACTGACCTGGCAGCTTTGGAAACACCACCATCGCCCCTCCTGCGCTGAGGTTGCCATGGCAACTCCTCTTTTTTGTAGGCATTTCAAGCAGAAAGGCCAAATCTGCATTTAAAAAGCTGAGGGCGGGTGTGAGGGGATTAGAGCTAAAGGGCCTAAACCAGCCCAGTCCTAACCCCTGCCCTCCACGCACCTGCACCTGCCTGCCCCCCGGGCTAGGCGCTGGGAGCATCAGGAGGCAACTGAGGCCTCGCTGGATGTCTCGCCTGGTGAAGGAAGAAGGGGTTGAGTTTAAGCACCTGGCAGTGCAGCTCCTTCCTGGGCCTGGGTCAGGGACTTCGGCTAGGTCCACACCAGCGATGTGCCGGTTAGCTCTGCCAGCAAACCCTCCTCACCAAACCACAGTTTAGCCAGCCAGGGAGTGCTTTGGCTGGTCGAGCTTAGACCAGTTCAGCCAGTGAAATAACACCCCCAGGCAGGGACCCTGCCCCCCGATCCCTGCACCCCACAGGGAGCCTAGGTAGGGACCCTGCCCCCCAACACTTGCCCCTTGTGCCCCACATGAAGCTCAGAGAGGGACTCTTCCCACTCAAATGCCTCCCCCCTGCACTCCACATGAAGCCCAGACAGGGATCCTTCCCCCAGATCCCTGTGCCCCCACGTGGTGCCCAGACAGGGACCTTTCCCTGGGCCCACATCTCCAGCTATTGTAGGTTGCCGGACCGGTTTGTCTACTTCACAAAGTGGAGAGACCCCTTTAAAACCAGCTTGGCTAGTGTGAGCCCGTGATCTGTCAGTGATGGCACAAAATGCAGCCAACCTCCTGGGGTCCCCTGGAGCCTGCATGATGGCTGGGAGGGGTGACTAGGAGACAATAGCCCCACTCCACAATAGCGTGGTGGGGGGAGGTCCCTCTCCCTTAGCTGCTCGGGTCAGATCACGTGGTGGGGGGGTGGATCTGGGTTCTCTGCCAGGCTCTAAGCCAACCTCACCTGCTCTGGGGCTTCTGCAACTAGGGGGCAGCTGAGCGCGCTGGGGAGGGCTGAGGGGCTTGGCTGCAGGTTCAATGCAGCCCCTGGTTCAACTCCCAGGCTGTTGTGTGAGGACTGGATCTAGGCCTCTGCCCTGCCCTGCTGCTGCACCAAATCCAAAATCTCCTGCCCCTTCTTCCCCCAACCCATTCCCTCAGCTCAGGCCTGAAGGGCTCCCCTGAGCTACCATGGCTGCGGTATAGCCTGAGGTCAGGTCTTGACCCCCTCTTGCATCCCCCTGCCAGGCCGAGGTGCAGAATGGCCCCCGCTAAGTGCTGGCGCCTGGAGCTCCAGCTCTGAGGACCATCTGCTGCAGCGGCACAGACTTTAGTTCCTGGCTGCTGGATAATTGTGCAGTGGGTGGGCGGGCAGCTTGCAGCCGGAGGGGAAAGGCCAGAGCAGCAGGGTCTACCCTGAAACAAGGGCAAGCCCCTGCCTGGCCAGAGACAACTGCTTTAACTGCTACGCTGCTGAGGACATGTAAGCTCAGCCTCGGCTCCTCTGGGCCTTCCAGCCATGGGGATGGGATGAACTGGGGTTTGCAAAGCTCCATTCCAGGCTCAGACTTGGGGCCCGTGGGTTCTGAACGCACATCGTACAGGGGCGTTTGGGTCACCGGTTCCAGTTCTGGCCACATCTCTAGCTCCAGCCGCTAGGCCCTCCTCGAAGAAGCTGTGGGCCCTTTGCAACTCCCTCACCCACTCTCAGAGCCAGCTCCCTCCACCCACTCCAGCCCCCCGCCCCAAGCCCACAGACCCAGTCCGAGAGGCCAGTTTGGGAGTGGGTCTCACTGCCAGGGAGGCTGGGCTGGCTGAGAATCACCGCATGCCAGAGCTCTCCCAGTACCAGGCCCCTACTGGCCCCTCAGCCCGCTGTAAACAGCCAGTCTCCAGGTCACCCACCTGGCAAGCTGTTCCTTTCTGTGCGTAAAACCATCCCCAAGGCCTCCACTTCAGCTCTAGGTCCTCCATTTAGATGCCCAGGCAATGGGTGCCTGAGGAATGCCCTTGAGAGAGGAAGGCTGGATAGTGGGTTCCTGGCACATAGATGAGCCCTCAGCCCTGTTCTAAGCACCCTGAGATCCCTTAGCTCTGGTGGGTGAGGACAGCATTGTTATCCCCATTGCAATCAGGGAAACAGGCACGGACCATGGCATTGACCTGCCCGAGGTCACGAAGTAACAGATCTGAGGTTAGCATCCCATTCACAGGCCTGTGCTAAATGCCCTGCTCTCCTGACAGCTGTTACATTTGGCCAAGTAGCCATGCAAATGCCCCGTGTGATCCCGTTTTTCCCGCTCATGGCTCCAGTTCCAGTGGGCTCCGTTCCCAAGTCACTGGGGAATGTTCCTAGCTGTCCAGCATGGCTGGCTCCCCCTGGGGTCCGCAATCCCATCTTGGTCTATCCAGCCTCTGCCCCTCACTGGGGATGGACTCTGCAGTCGGTACCTGTCCCAGCAGCCAGGTGATGGTGCAGAAGGCAGAATGGCTCCCCGGTGGCTGCACTATCCGCTGCAGGGCTGGCAGGAATCACCGTGTCTCTGTGCTGGGGAAGCCGGCTCATCGGGGAGCCGAGACATGAGGGAAAAGGCACCATTTTACCCTGTTGCTTTCTGAGCGCTTCCTCTCTGCCAGGAATGGGGCAGGGTCTCACCAACACACAGCACTTTCCCTTCAGGAGTCCTAGGGACCCGTTGTATCCCTACCCAAGAGAGACCTGTGCTTCCGACATGCAGAGAGATTTTAGGCAGGATGCAGAATTGTGCTGTACTGAAGCTCCACCCCAAAGCCCAAGCTTCGCCCACAATCGCAGGATGGCCACTTATTTCAAAGTGTTTTGTGGTTGACAGTGATATCATTAGGCATCAGAGTGAACATCCACTGAGCGGACCAGTTCCCATTCCTCGTGTTCCAGCCTGCAGGCTCGGGCACACATCACACAGCAGGTCACATCCCGAAGCTTTCCCTTCTAACCAGCTGGGCTAGAAATGACCAGCCTGAGGGGCCAGGAGGCCGGAGGGAAGGGTCCTGGTGGCAGCAGCGAGGATTCAGCAAACGGCCTCTGTCCCCATGGGTGACACGGAGTCAGAGGGGGCTCAAGGTCCCTGTTCCCGGGAGACCAAACGCCACAGGGCCTGTGCTCTCCCCCTCATGCCAGTTCCCTGCCCGCTTGCCCCTTGCTCATGTGCCTGGGGGAGCAAAGGAGGGGCGCGCCACTTAGGCAGACACAATAAAGCCACCGGAGTTACGGTCCAGCGCTTCATGCATCTCCCAAAGGGGAGTCTGGCCCTGTCTGTGCATGGGGGGAGGGGAACAGAAGGGGCGAGGCGCCTTGTGCCTGGGCACCTTGGAGGGCAGGGGTGGCCGTGCCCCGGTGCAGCTGGAGGGGGCTGGTGGGCGTGGCCAGCCCCGGTGTCTCTGGATCAAAGAGGCCGACGTTCCGTGAGCGTGAGCAGGGGCCTCGTGACGAACAGCTCTGTGCTGTGCTTCCCCCTCCAGCCTACGCCCAGCTGCAGCCCCACCAGCTCGTTCAGCAGCAGAAGCAGATCCAGCACCAGTTTGTGATCCAGCAGCAGCAGCTCCAGCCCAGGTCTCAGCCTCAGCTCATCCAGGGCGGTGCCAACACCTCACCCCAGCTGCAACCACTGCCCCCGCCCACACCTAGCCTGGCGGTGCAGCCCAGCTTGCAGGTGCAGGGCCAGAGCCACACCGCCCCACAGGGCCCAGCCCCTCTATCCCACCCACCGCAGTGCCAGGCTTCCAGTCAACACAAGCCGAGTGCCAACCAGCCATACCAGCCTGCTCTGCACGCCCCTGGGCTCCAAGCCGTGGGCCCAGCCCAGCCAGCGCCTGAGGGCGGGCCTCAGAACGGACACCCCGGATGCCTGAACCATGCCACTCATCGCAAGTTCCAGCATGCCTCAGCTGTGATCCTGCAGCTCCAGCCAGCCATCGGGACGGTGAGTGTGGTGCCAGCCACTGGGGGACATTGGGAGATTTGGTCCCGGGTTTGGGTTTGGTTGTGATTCGGAGGAGGAAATGTAGGGATCTTACTGTAAATGTTTGATTCCCTCAGCTGGATACAGGATTCTTCTTCACTTCCTGGCCTCAACTGTTGTGGGATGTTTCTGTGCGCTGTTAAACAGCCACCACGTTCCACCCCAGGGGCGCTCGTTTCATTGCTGGGCGACGTGTTGCCTGTGTGTGGAGGAGCCCTGGGATCACTCAGGGCACTGGCTGCTGTTACACTCTCGTTCTCCCCTGCCGCTCTGACAGCCTCAGCTCAGCATCCAGGAGAATGCCAGGAAAGACGTCCTTCCTGCTGATAAGAACCCGGAAAGCCTGCCAGCTCAGCTGCCACCACCGCCGCAGGCTGCCCTGATGCCCCCAGCTGCACCCCCGGACCCAGAGGTCTCTGAGGGCAACAGGCCCCCTACTCATGGTAAGGAGCCTTGGCTGTGTAAGTGGGGTGTTACCAGGAGCAGCTGCCTTGACCGCCCCCTGCTCTGAGACATCTTGCGTCCTGGCTCAGACAAAGTGGAGGGGCAGGGCCCTGCTTAGGAAATGGGGCAGAGCTGGATTGCTGGGGAGTGTTCAGGGTGAAGCTGGGGCGTGGGGGGAAGAGAGGCTGAGGGAACTGGGATTGTTTAGCCTACGGAAGAGAAGGATGAGGGGGGATTTGATAGCTGCTTTTAACTACCTGAAAGGTGGATCCAAAGAGGATGGATCTAGACTATTCTCAGTGATAGCAGATGACAGGACAAGGAGTAATGGTCTCAAGTTGCAGTGGGGGAGATTTAGGCTGGATATTAGGAAAAACTTTTTCACTAGGAGGGTGGTGAAACACTGGAATGTGTTACCTAGGGAGGTGGTGGAATCCCCTTCCTTAGAAGTTTTTAAGGTCAGGCTTGACAAAGCCCTGGCTGGGATGATTTAGTTGGGGATTGGTCCTGCTCTGGGCAGGGGGTTGGACTAGATGACCTCCAGAGGTCCCTTCCAACTCTGATATTCTATGATTCTATAAGTTCCTGAGTGTGTTCTGGGCAGCACCTTGGAAATAAACCACACCCCAAGGGTGTGGTTTTTGCAGCCTCACTCCCCATTGGATCCCCATGTGCACGCCAGCAGTGCACAGGGCCTATCAGAGAGTCAGAACAGGGGAGAATGCCCCAGGCATAAAGATACTGCATGTGGTCCCCCCCGTGCCCAGCCCAACAGGTGATGCCCCAGAGGGTGCCACCACCAGGATCTCCATAGGCCACCCAGCCTTCTCTGACTCACGCTGAGGGAGCAGCTCAGCCTACAGGGGATGTAGATCCCCCTGTGCCCCATTCTCCGGCTGAGCTCCAGGTGGAGAGAGAGGAGTGCCTGCACAGGGGGTAAGAGGTGCAGGGAGGACGAGGTGAAGAGCTACCGGAGGCTGCCGCCATTGGCAGGAGCTGCAGAGGAGAAGGCTCTCGCTGTGTGTATGGCGCAGATAGGGGCAGCTCCCAGACTCCAGGGCATCAGACCTGGCAGGGGTAAGTCCTTCGGGCTGGCCCCCGAGCAGTGGTAGTTTGGTGCAAAGCAGGTTCTTAGAGGAGGGGTTACTCTTCCTGCCGCCCTCCAAACACCATCAGCAGTCAGTGCCTGCCCGGCTAGGAGACAGAACCATGGCTCTAGGTGTCCTGGGGTGACTAGCACTAATGGTTGGTGCTGTGGCCGGTTCCCCGGTCAGTGACTCAGTCATGCGGTGGCTTGCCTGTGTTGCGATGCCAGCAGCATGATGTGTGTCTGGGCAGTAACGCCAGCGGGGAATCCCAGTGCTGTGGCTGGCATGCCCGGGCTGTAAGGATGGCAACGTAGCCAGCCTGCATGGGTGGTGGCATCAGCCCCATCATCAGGGAATGCTAGGGGTGCAGCAGGTCCCCTGACTGGTGATGCTGGTCCTGCTTTTACAGGGGAGCTGCACTGGTGCAGGTGCACCCGAGAGCTGGCTGCTCCCATCTCTGGGGAGCCACGGCCCTGTTCACCCTGCAGCACGGGCACCAGTGCTGATGGGAGCTGTGGAAGTGTCTCGGAGGGGTGGGTTCCAGCAGCATGTTTCCCAACACAAGAGAGGAGAGTGAGGTGCTATAGCCACATCTGGTCAAGCTGCACTGAGCACTGCTGTTCTGAACCCGCAGTTGGCAGCTGAGAAAGTTCCCGTTTTCCAGCCTTGTGCTGTTTTAGGACTACTGGCTGGGGCGGAACCAGCCTGGGGAACCTGACCTAGGCCCAGCTCAACCCCAGGCCTCCTGCATCCTGGCTGTGAGCTGGTGTCTGGGAGCTGTGACGAATCCCTTGCTCCCTACCCTGAGCTGGGCACGGCTGGGCACGGAGCATTTCTCTGTAAGGCAGGAAGCCCAGGCAGAGACATGCCCAGGGCACATCATTGCAGGGTGCTGCCGCACTCCTTAGGTGCCACGTTTCAATCTGGCTGGTTTTATAAAGCCAGAGCATTTGTCAGGATTTTATTTTGTTAAAATTCCAATGCAAACAGGTTGGGGGTCAGATTCCGCATTCCCAGCCCAGCCCTTGCAGCACTGTGCCAGGGCACGGGAGCCAGTGGGGAACTGACCAGCCGGCCCATGGGCAGCAACAGCACAAATAGCAGGTATGTGGCAGGAGACTTCAGCCACCCTCTGTGCTGCAATGAGGTCAGGGGATGCGAACAACACAGGGCAGAAAATGGTCAGAGAAGCCGTCAGGCTAGATCTGGGCCAATGTCTATTCAACATTGGTGAGGCCTCATCTGGAGTACTGTGTCCAGTTTTGGGCCCCACACTACAAGAAGGATGTGGATAAATTGGAGAGAGTCCAGCGAAGGGCAACAAAAATGATTCGGGGTCTGGAACACATGAGTTATGAGGAGAGGCTGAGGGAGCTGGGATTGTTTAGCCTGCAGAAGAGAAGAATGAGGGGGGATTTGATAGCTGCTTTCAACTACCTGAAAGGGGGTTCCAAAGAGGATAGCTCTAGACTGTTCTCAATGGTAGCAGATGACAGAACGAGGAGTAATGGTCTCAAGTTGCAGTGGGGGAGGTTTAGATTGGATATTAGGAAAAACTTTTTCACTAAGAGGGTGGTGAAACACTGGAATGCGTTACCTAGGGAGGTGGTAGAATCTCCTTCCTTAGAGGTTTTTAAGGTCAGGCTTGACAAAGCCCTGGCTGGGATGATTTAACTGGGAATTGGTCCTGCTTCGAGCAGGGGGTTGGACTAGATGACCTTCTGGGGTCCCTTCCAACCCTGATATTCTATGATTCTATGATTGTATGATCTGTCCAGTCTAGTGTCACTAGCCAGAACCACAGCTATCTGACCACCCCCGTCAGTGGGGGGCTACCACACGCCGGGGGCAGGAGGGCTCCTCTCCCCACACCCAGTCATTCTTCTTATTCCAATGTCTGATCGTCCCCAGCCCTGGCTTGTCTTGAACAATCTGACTTGCAGCCAGTCAGCAGACAAGCTGGGGGTGGAAACGTCACGTTCTCCCGGACAGTCAGCCCCCGAATGCCAAGTGCCGGGGGCATAGTCAGCATGGGGCCAGCCTCATTAATGCCATCTGCCCGCTAAGTGGAGCCAGGCTCCTCTGAGACGCCACACCCCTGGAATATTCTCCTGGACTGGAAAAGCCACAGCACGACATGGACCCATCTGTCAGGGTCACTGGGCTGAATCCATCCCCATAGCCTCCTATGGCCCAGCATCTTCCTGCTCCTGTCGGGAGGGGACAGGGCTTCACAGCTGCAGATGCTCCTTGGGAGGAGCCTGTGTGGGATGTACCATGAGGGTGTGTGTCGTGGGGAGGTGGGCATGTATTGGGTTGTGGGGTTGTGTGCTGGGAGTGTGTTGGGTTGTGCAGGGGTGTGTCATGGAGGGTGGGGTTGGGTGGGTGAATGGGTGTTGTTGTGGGGCTATGCACTGGGAGTTGGGGTGTGCAGAGCTCTTGTGTGCAGATGTGGTTTGATCATTTATTCAACAAACGAATGTTTTCCATGTCATTTTCCCATGTTGAAACATAACTGCCCCAGTGACTCCATCTCTCATACTTTGCCCGCTGTAGTGGGCATGGGGGGTAGTGCATGTGGGGTGAAGGGTGTTTGGGGCAGTGTGCAGGCATGATCACAGAAGGGATCATACCAGGCAAACCTGGCACAGACTGGGGCAGAGTGCCCCTGCATGGGGATCTGCGATGGAGGAGAATTCCACAGTGTTTCCCTGTGGCCCTGCAGCTTGGCCCAACGCAAAGTGTGGGGAGACATTGCCAGGTTAGGCTGGTGGCCTTTCACCCCCACTGTGCACTGGTGTAAATGGTGGCACGAGGCTCAGGCCATGGCATCTGGGCAGGCAGGAGAGCTTGCTTCTCAGCTGGGCCTGGGTAGCAAAGAGCAGGTGAGAGCGAGCTGGGGTGAGGTCAGGTCGCAGTCACCATCTCTGTGAAAGACACACACCCAGTCTCCCTCATCCCCCCTCCACGCTTGGTCTAGGCCTGTGCTTTGTCCTTGGTCCCACCAGAGCGTGAACTACCATGGAGCAACCACTCCCTTTATTCTTGGCAACAGTTCTTTTCCCGTCCCTGCCCAGCAGAGACCAGAGAATTGCTGGAATCAGCGCTGGATGCACCGTGCCAGGAAAGCAGGAGGCCCTTGTCTCCCTACGGTTCCTCCTGAGTCTTAGCACAGCTGGGACATCAGTGAAGCCTGGGGTTAGTGCTGCTCAGGTTGGAGTCCAGGGATAGGATGATTGTGGGCTCCACGTGCATCCCCAGCTAGCCTGGTATTCCCCAGCACGGGCTCCTGCCTGTGATGCCTGTCCCCATTGCAAATAATGTAGGAGTCCTGGAGTGTGGAAAGTCCTCACTCTTTGTTGCCAGCAACTTTGAAGGCTGCAGGCTTCCCATGCTCAGGCAGGGCCCTGAGCACCCATTCACCTTGCTTTTTTATAGCACCCTGCAGGATCCCAAAGCACTGCAAGACAGGGAAATAGGCTTATCCCCATTCTCTAGATGGGGAAACTGAGGTATGGAGCAGGGATGTGATTTGATTGAGACCAGACAGTGAACCCGGATAGGGAAGAGAACCCACGACTCGTGACTTCAGTCCCTAACTCCAATCACTCCTTTACATCTGTACATCTTTACATCTGTGAGCACTGAAATGCAGGTGCGACTGGGGTGGGACATGTCAGTTCACAGGAGTCCTTCCACAATAGTTTAGAACAGGAAGCAAAGTAGAAGAGAGCAGTGAATAGAAACTGCACCTGGAGATGTAGGGAGGCAGGCTATAGGTAGCCATGTGGAATTTGGCCAGGATGCCCAGGCTAATATAATGCTCATGCAAAGTGCCATGGGACCTGCACTGAGGAGTGGCCAGAGTCTCTGGTGCATGTCTTGTTTGGAAGAGCCCAGCTCCTGCAAGG